CTCTAGGGCAATAACCCAAGCTACCTTCTCCAGCCACTGGCCAGAGTCCCTTATCCTCAGGCACTGACCTGGTAGGCAATGTCCACTGGAGGTAGGTAGGGGCTCACAATGCTAGTTCTCCCAAATCCCACCAATAAAAACCCATTCCAGTCAGAGCAGGTCACTGACTCCACAGTGAGGGGTTCTACCACGCACCCTGCCAAGTGTTTATTCTTCATCCTGTTGGTTCTTTCTCTGGGACAGCAGGGAGGTAGGCCACACCAAAGCAGGTGCACCCAACCCTGGTATGCTTGCATCTCAGCATCCCCCGAGGCGACCAATCTTCAGATTGCCTTCTTCTCCTATAATGAGGCTTTTGTTCTTGATCACTTCCACCTTTGGCCATGCTCCTTCCCTTTCCAGTGAATCCATTTAGTCTTGCCAGATAGAACCTGTTCTCACAGCCTGTTTTCCCCTTCCCTACCACCATGACGGTTTCCACCAGTTGCCCATTGAACGCACAGCAGATCCATAGCTGGAGGGGTCTGAGGCAAAAAGCCAGCACCTGGGGAGCCTGGCCCTGTGTCAGGGACATGGAGCAGGGCCTTAGAGCAGGCCCTGACCCTGAACTCTCTCCCAGTCCTCTTGAACCAAACCAAACAAACCAGAGAAAAGGGGGAAATCCCCACTTTGGAAAATCTAGAAAACTCACGACTTCATCACCCAAGCCATGGGATGGGAAACATACCAGAGTGGGAGGTGGGAAAGAAACGTGTTGTCGGGGTAAGTGTGTGACTCCATAGAGGAGAAAGTAACATTTCCCAAACCACGTGGGCAAATAACCACATAGATGTGTTTTCCCCATCCCAACCCGGATGCAGGGAGAAGCAGGCAGGCATCCTGACACAGATAGACGGCCCCTCCAGCACCCATCACCCTTCAAAGTGCCAAGTACCATTTCAGGACTATTGGTGGTTGTTGGCAGACCTAGGGTTTGGGCCTCATGTGGGTGTTTTAGGGCTGTGAGCAGATAACCAGTCGTCACCTGGAAACCTACATCACCATCCAGTCCAGAAACAGACAAGAAGAGGCCCAGGGCTCACTGTATTTAGACAGTGTTAGGGTCAAATCTAGAAGTTCACAAGGTACTAGGATGAGAATGTCCCCCAACCAGTCATCCTGCAGATGTGGAAGTCAAGCCTTGAATTACGCATCTGTAGACTCAGGACTCCTTCCCTGAGCTGTTCAGGTTCCAGGAGCAGCTTCTGGGAGTGAGGGGATGGAAGAGGTGATAAGCAGGGTGACACAGGCCTCAGGAGACCCCTCTCTCGTTCTGGAACTTGTTTGGGTGTGGTTTCAGAAGAGAGCTTATGTAAGTGTGGCATACGTGCTGGAGTTCCCCAGGGGCACCTCGCTATAAGGCAAATTTGAGTTCTTTACATCTATGTATGGTCTGAGACTGTGTTTTTAGCAAGTTCCCAGGTGAGGCCATGATTGCAGGCTGATGGCCACGCTTGGAATCACCTAAGGATCAGGGATTGGCTGATAAGAAGTAGAGACAGCCAAGACACATGGAGACTGAGGATTGGTCTAGAAGAGAGCTAAACCAAGGGAAACTGATGCATCAACGAAGTCAGAGACTGGGATGAAAGTACAGAAAGACAGGGGAACAACAAAAACAAAACAAAACAAAAGACCTAAGGAGACAGTTAAGAGAAGCAGTGAGACAAAAAACACAGATGGAAAACCGACGAGTCCAGAAAGACTGCCAAAGCAGGGAAGCCGGCTAGACATGACAGGGAAGAAGCTACAGCTTGCTGTGGACAGCCTGGGACCAGAAATGTGCCACCCGAGGCTCCCAGTCTCAACCAGCAGCAGTAAAGGCATGGTGGCCTGAGTGAAACGAGACCCTTGAAGTAACAGGCACAGACAAGGAGCTTCCTTGTTTTCCAGCTTCCTCATGTCTGTATCGCCCTCTCCCAGTCCCAGAGAATACTCTCCCGAACCTGTTACTCACTCCCTTTTTCTCCTGCCTATTCAATCTTTCCCTTCCCTGGACTCTTCCAGACGGTTTTTTAATATGTTCTACTCATTTCCTTTTTTATATTTATTTGTTTATTTATTTATTGGCTTTTCAAGATATTTATTGGTTTCCCTTGCCAGAACCTCATGGAATCCATGTTTTGGTCAAGCAGTGTCTGCTCCCATTCTAAAATTAACACAGTTGAAGCCAGATGTATACTCCTCCTCCTCTCACACTAGTCTCCCTCCCAAGCTTCCCCCTCAGCACACTGTCCTGTGTCTGTCTGGTGTTTGAGCCAGACACCACTCTCCACACACCACACCCCCCACAGCAGCACCAAACCAAACGCCATTGACTTTGCTCATTTCTCTCCCTTTTTAATGTCGTTTTCCAGGTCCAAGCCTCCAAGCTCGCTCTCTCTCTCTTTTTCTCTCTCTCCTTCCCTCTCTCTCTCTCTCTCTCTCTCTCTCTCTCTCTCTCTCTCTCCCTCTCTCTCTCTCTCCCGGATGACTGCAACAGCCTCCTGAGCAGCTCTGCAGTCACACAGTAGACAACAGGAGCTTTGCGAAGTGCAAACACAGTCACGCAGTCTACTATTTGTGACTCAGGTTTGCAGAATTAAAGCAAGCCCGGTTTGGAGACTCTTCCCAGAATTGCTTCACTTCACTTGTGCTCCACGCCTTCTGGTCAGTCTGGCTTTCTTCCAGTTCCTTGAACACCAACCTCCATTCTGCCACAGGACATTTGATTATACTGCTCCCCCTGTATAGAACTGCGTGGTTGATGCCAGGTATGGTGGCACATGCCTTAATCCCAGTACTTAGGAAGCAGAAGCAGACAGATCTTTGTGAGTTGAGGCCAGCCTGATCTATATAGTGAACTGTGTTGTCTATGGCAATGATCACTGGCCACATGTGGCTATTGAGCTCTTCAAAAATGGTCACTGGGCAACTGAAAAAAATTGAATTCTTAGTGCTGATCGGTGAAATTTAAAACTTATAAATATTCAATTTAATTATTAGAGAACTATGCTTAAAACAACCTGAGTATGCAAATTTCTTGCTTCACTCAATATTGGTTTTCATGAAGTCTAAATACAATTTATGCTTCTAGCAAAAAATTACATTATTTACTGAGTGTGTGTGTGTGTGTGTGTGTGTGTGTGTGTGTGTGTGTTTGCATGTGAAAGTCAGAGGATAACTTTTGTTTTTGTTTTTTTGAGACAGGGTTTCTCTGTGAAATAGTTCTGGCAGTCCTGGAACCCACTCTGTAGACCAGGCTGGCCTTGAACTCACGGAGAATCACCTGCCTCTGCCTCCTGAGTGCTGGGATTAAAGGCGTGCATCATGGTTTTTGTCTCAGCCTTTTTTTTTTCCACTCTCACAAGCTCCATGTCTGTGCCAGAATCTGCCTGTCTTTAACTCACTGTTTGTTCTTGGGGTCTTTCTTGCCCCTTCATTTGATGGACATCTGTCTCTCCCATCATCCTCTGAGCTATGTGAGAGAAATCTGAGTGTGGCCATCTGTGGAAACCAACCACTTGGTCCAGAGCTGGTTTGCACTGATGCCAGCAGATACCAGCATGCCACCTGAAGCCATTCCATCCACCCCTGTACCTTTGGCCAGAACAATCCCCAAACATTGTCAGAGAGCCTGCTCTCTCCCTCCCCCTATGAGCACCCTGGGGTATACAGCTGCTGACCTCCCAGATGGAAGTCCTCCCATGGAGCTGGCCTGTCCTTCTTCAGAGAAGTCACAGGAGTGCTTCTTGAAAAGGCTGTGTGTGTGGACCATTTGGAGCCTGGTTAACACACACCCTGTGAGACAGTAGGTCTGGAATGGCACCTGAGTCTCATTCCCAACAAGCTTCGTGCCAGCAAAGTCACAGATGGCCCACAGATCACATTCTGATGAACAAGAATGCAGATAGGTCTGGAGAGATGGCTCAGCGAATAAGAGCACTTACTGCTTTTGCTGAGGACCTGGGATGGTTCCCAGCATCCATACTAGCAGGTGACAGCCTCCTGGGGCTCTGGCTTCTGTGAGAACCTGCCTGCATGAGATGCACATAAACTCACACAGGCCAACATACATTCAGATAAATGTCTTCAAATCTTAAAAAGAAAAATGCAGAGAACCTGGTGAACATCCTCTAGGTACCCCTAAAGTTGGCTATTAGGGGGCTTTTAAAATTGTGCCCTGCCCCTCCTTGCTCCTAGGTATATCCACCAAACCTCACACCCTGAAAATAAATGGAGAGCTTGGTTTGGTTTTTTTGTTTGTTTTTTCTTTTTAATTTGAAATAAACCTTTAAGCAGTTTCCAAGTCAGGTCAGCCCCGACATGTACCCCGGATGTGTAATGACTCTCATCTCCAACAATCAAGTCACACAGCTGGGAGTGCCACTTAGAGCCGGGGAAAGCACTCTCTTGCTTGGCAGCTGCTCCAGCTTTGGCTCTAATCTGCCATCCACCTGGCAGGTGCTGTCCCAGCCATTCCTCCAGAAGGCTCCACTCCTTGAAGTTTAGGTTCAGATGCTGGGAAAGGTTCTCTCAGACATGTCTTCCAAGAGCATCATAAACTGAGTGTATACAGCTGGGCCACAGGATGGAAGTATCTTTGGTCTAGTGTTTGAAACTGGAAAAAATTATTTTTGATGGTGCCAGTCTATTTTTGAAAGGTGTCATATAAACCAAATTTCAGTTTGCCTTTGACTTATATATACAAAGACAATTTAGTTGCATTTCTAACTCACAATTGATAGCAACACTGGGACGAGTGTGTGTGTGTGTGTGTGTGTGTGTGTGTGTGTGTGTGTGCGTTTTCTGATGTGGCTATGTGTGTGCCTGGATATGCATGGATGGTTGGATAGATGGGTGGGTGAGTGAATGGAGTCTGTATGGACTCTGCTGTCCCAGATGCTCCAGTTCTGGAAAGTTTTCATCATGCAGTACAGCACAAGACTCTTCCACACAGACCTAAAGACTGATCACTGTGCTTAGGTGGGTCCTACTGACATGAGTGGCCCTGCCGTCCCTGGCTGCAGCTGCTGCTGCCCTTTGTGTCTTCGAGAGTTGGAGCCTGGCTCCTTGCTGTTCTTCCTAGCCGTGTGCCTATTGGCATTCTCCCTCCGGCCTTGGCCCCCCTTCCTCCTCTTCTGCCCTGCAACAATTAGATAGTGGAGAAAAATCAACAAAGGATGTGCAGACACCCTGGGTGCCCAACGTCCTCAGAAGGTCGTGGCAAGGAAGCTGGGCAGGAAGGCAATAGAGGTTGCCTCAAGGGTTCTTCTGGATGCAGCCTCTTCAGGGGACATTATAGCATGAGTACAAGATACAGCCTCTAGAGACTTGTCTCCACCCTACTCTTAGTGCACACCAGGCATGTTCATTCTCAGCCCTTGGACCCCAAAGACCCCAGAGCATTTCCTGGCTGTTCTGTGAAGGTATCAGGACAAGTGGGACAGTCCCTACTCCCTGCCACCCACCAGCTACCTCTGAGACCAGGCAGAGTGAGCAGTATCAAACTCACTGCCAACTGCAGGTTCTGTGGCCTTATATCAATGGATTCAAGTCTCTGGGGCTTAGCCCACTCTAACCCCCTCTCTTCTCCGAGGGCCCTTCTAAAATGAACACACAGAAGAAATGGGACAGGGATTATGCTCACAGAAGTTTCTAATTTCTGCTACAGAGTATCTCAGGGTGTTGTCCTCAGCCAGGATATGCCCCCAGTTTGCACCGCATGGGAGACCCGGCAGGATGCAGACATAACTGACCCCACAGGCAGAGGCTGCAGCTCACCCTCAGGACATGGCGTCCTGCGCACTGTACACTTCCGGGTCTCTTTGATGTCAGTGCAGGTAGTATGGTCTCCCCCAGGAGCATGGAGCACCCTGCGTGTCCGCTCTTCCGATCCCTTCCGGAAACCGCACAGCTTCCTCTTCTTGGAGCAGGGTCCCCACGGGGACCACTCACTCATTTCACATTGTGCTGACAGGAGGTGAGGTAGGAGGAAGGGAAGGAAGAGGCAAAGGGGCCTCCCCGCTCCCCCGCCCTGAGTGCCCTAGGGAATCCTCACCCACCACCCACCCAATCTCAGTCCAGACCTCAGGTCTGAATCCTTTAGCCCAGAGGCATCAGGCCATAGAGAAAGAACCCCCCAAAAGGTGGTTGGGGAAGGTGAACTTTCTCTTGCCCCACCCCTCCATCCTGTCACCAGACTTCAATCAACCTCTCTGTTCTGGGCTCTGGGCCCTCTGCCACCCCCTCCTTACCAGGACTGCTGCACTCCATGGTGCTGTTGGCTGCCGTGGAACCCTCGGGACAGGCTGGGTAGCAGCGGCCCTTGTGCAAGTACAGGCCTTCCTGACACTTGGTGCAGAAGTTGTGGCTGAAGCAGGCCTCACAGTGCTCAATCTTGCATTCTGAGGACAGGGGCAGAATGGAGATTGGTCCAGGCTAGGATGGGCACAGTCTTTTACCCCTAGCCCCAAAGCCTACTGCTCATCCCACTCACAGAGGTCGGGATCATGGTCTAGAGTTGGGATTCATGCAGAGGAATCTTTCAAAGGGGGAGGGGACAAGGAAAGGACATTGAAGTAGTCACTCCTGAGTACTGGCTGGTACTCTTGCCAACAACAGCCAACCAGAACCCAAACGAAGTCTCAGATCCTGGAACCCAAGCTGAGGTCCAAGGGCTTCAGGGGAGCAGGGGCCTTCTGGGCTTGATGGAGACAGAGAAGACCAGTTCAGCATCCCACAGCATCCCAGAGCCCCTCTAAAAAGAGTAGGACTGAATGGGAGAATGAACCCCCAGGCAACACCTGTGTGGCACCCCTTCTCACATTGCTGGGCACCCCAAGCACCCCAGCACTGGGGCTCCTCCTGCCCAGAGCAGAAAGAATCCGCTCAGAGGAGTGGGAGCAGTCCCAGGGCAAATTCCTCTCCCTGTGCAAAACCAAGTTCCAGGAACCCCTGGGTTAGACTCCTGGATCCCTCCCTTCCTCCTCTTGCCAGCTCCCTCCTTTGCGGGAGGTGGGCAGAACAGGGCTTGGCTGGGAACAGAGAGGCCTTCCACCATCTCCTCTCCCGAGCCTGGGAGGTACTGGCTTCCTCCCAATCTCTGGCACCTGAAGCGCCAAGCTGCCAGCCTACAAGACTCTGGCACATCTAGGAACCTCCTCTTTCCCAATGCCCTGAAGACCAAGAGGGCAGCCCACCTCACCTCACTGAGCTACCCACCCACCTTTCTGTACCTTTGTCCTGGTGGCTTAATTTCAACTTTGCCTCCCTTCCTCCCGCCTCCCCCTCTGCTCCCATCATTTGCTGAGATTCCTGGGTTTGGTTGCCAGTACAATAAGAACCAAAATAACAATAGCAGCTACCATTTACTGAGAGCCAGACACCAAGAGGTTTATAGGTGTGTCCCCTAACAACCAGAAGAGGATAGACTACCACTCCCAATTTAAGGATGAGCTGTCAGGGGGCTGAGATCCACTCAAGGTCATACAACAAGCTAGTAGCCAACCTGAGATCAGAAGTCAGAAGGCTGCACTGGCACCAGGCATCTCCCTTCCATGCCTCTACATTATCAGCTTTAAGAACCTATGGCCCCTTCCACCCGGTCTCCCTCCAAAGATTTTTGTGAGACTCAGTGATCTGAGGTCTGAAATGCGTTCTACACTTCAAGGCACTAAACCAAGGGAGGAAACACCAGCATGGTTCACTGGGTGCCCCCAGAATGTCCCAGTTGTAGTTACAGGGGTGGGATGGAGATGGGGCAGTATGTGCCTTGCAATACATGGATCTGTGGCCGGGGCGGAAAGGCTGGACCAGAAGCCAAGGGGAGTCATAAAAGAGCAGAGTGGCCAGACAGGAGAATCCCTGAAGCCTGGGGAGAGCTGACACAGGATGACTAGCACCAGGGACGTGGGCCAGGGTGTAAATCTCAGAAGCATCTTGGTGGCTGCAGAGCAGAGGGTGGGCTGGATGGACGGGTATGGAAATGGTGGAGGAGACAGGTGTTGGGAGTCTAGGTATGACAATGGGAAGGAGGGGAACGGTAGCTGGGTTGTGGTTAGTGGGTGGGTTGGGCAGCACAGTGAGGGACTAGCTTTCGGGTCTCAGTTGGGACAGTAAGAGTGACCTGTGGGAACAGAGGTAGGTACAGATATGGAGAAAGGAGGGTGGGGTTCCAGTTTGTACCCAGTGGGATTATGGGCAGAACATCTAGGAGGATGTCTGCCTGTATATTTTAAACAAGAGCGTCATCTTCTTTCCTGTGCCCCCTCTACACTCCTCGCTGGTCATCACTAACTAGTTTAAAGCACAGCCCTCCAGGGTCCAGGGCCTCTCCATCCCCCACCCCCACACTCACTGATGCATTTGTTCATGTCGGGATTTCGGGCATCAAAGTATCCAGGCGGGCAGGACGGCAGGCAGACGCCCACCTGGCGGATGTCGTTTCTTTCCAGCAGAATGAACAGCTTGGGTGAGCACTTGAGGCAGCCGTTGACTTCTGAACAGAGTTCACAGCCCTTGGCACAAGCTTGGCTCCCCTCAGCACTGACTGCAGGTAGAATAAGGATGAGAAGGTAGCTGCAGAGGAGCCCCCATATTTCCAGGATCCCACAGAGATCAGAGGTGATCCTTTGGGGGCTTCTTTGCACGAAGGGAATGTGTATCTCTGAAAGCAGGGCTGGGCAAACAGGTCTCTGCAAGACTGCCTTAGGCACAAGCCCAGAGCCCCTAACTGAGTAGCTAGTGTAGATGCCTAGATCTGCACCGCTAACTTCTTACTGACTCCAGCACATCCTGAGCCTATACACTTGTTCTTTATCCCTAGAGATGAAACTCAATCTGTACCTTCCTGGAACTTGTCCTAACTCTCTTCAGCCTCAGGTACCCAAGGAAGCTTTTCAATTGTTGGCAAAGTTTTGAGATCAAGCAGGGCGGTGGTGGGGTATGCCTTAATTCCCAGCACTTGGGAGGCAGAGGCAAGTGGATCTCGGTGAGTTCAAGCACAACCTGGTGTACAGAGTAAGTTCCAGGACAGCCAGAACTACATAGAGAAATTCTGTCTTGGAAAAAAAAAGTTTTGATATCAAGAGGCATTCTGAACTAAAAGTTGCAAGGAGAAAGACTGAAAGACAACTAGAGTGACCTCTGCCTATAACAGTGGTCTCAACTTGAGAGATTTTGCTTCCTAGGAGACATTTGAGCACTTGCCCCCCACTTTTTTTTTCTGAGTCCCACATAGTCAGAAGATGATTTTGAACTTCTCTTCTCCTACCTCCACCTCCTGACTTCTGGGATCCCAAGCAGATACCACATCTGGGTTTTTGTGATAATGGGGACCAAACCCAGGGTCTTGAACACTTGAGACAAGCACTCTACAGAGTTAAATCCCCAAGCCTAAGGACTTTAAAGAACAGATTCATTTTAACTTTCTACGTATAAGTGTTTTGCCTGCATGCATATGCATGCACCATGTGCGTGCCTGGTGCCCTCTGAGGTCAGAGGAGTGTCTCAGGTGGTTGTGAGCCATCATTTGGGTGCTGGGAACTGAACTCAGGTCTTCTACAAGAGCAACAAGTGCACTCAACTGCTGAGTCATCTCCCCAGTCCCTGGGGAGTTTTTTGATCATTACAACCAGAGAAGTGGGTTGCTACTGGCATCAAGGAGTAAAGTGAGAGAAGCCTTTGCAATGTGTGGACCAGCCCTGGACAAAAGGAATCATGTGGTCCAAAACGTCTGTGAGGGTGTGGTTGAAGCATCCTGTTTAGTCCCTCCTTGAAGGCATCGTCCTTCCACGGCAGCAGAGACTCAGATTTCATTCTGTTCCTTCATTAACTGTTCAGCCCACCCTCACCCATCACCTGCCATGTGCCACATGATGGGTGAGCTCAGAGGTCAGGTGTCAAACTGAGCCTCTTTGCAGAGGGACTGGCTTTCAGTGGGACAGAAACCCATCTGCATGAGAGTGCTGGCGGCCCAAGCCAGCAACAGTGGATTCAGGACTCTGGAAAAGCCAGCATGACGGCTCACGCATGCAATCCCAGCATTTCAGGAAGGAGGTTATGAGTTTGAGGACAGACTAGAGCAATATAGTAAAAGACTGTCAAAGAAGGGAGAGGAGGAGGAAGAAAAAAGAGGAGGAGGAGGAAGAGAAAAGAAAAAGAAGAGGAAGAGGAGGAGAGAGAAGAGAACAGGTTCTCAAAGGAGGGACATGGGGGCCTCTTGAAGGATCAGTAGAAATTTGACCTTTAGAACATAGAAATAAAGGTGCTGGAAGGACCAGGACCAGAGAGGGGGAAGGGAACATGCAGACAATTTAGGAAGGAATGGTGGGAGGGAAGGTGTCTTCTCTCTGTACCACACTAAGGAACTTCAGTCCTGTGGGCAGTGTTTCCCTTGAACTCACAGAGATCAGCCTACTTCTGTCTCCCAATTGCTGGGATTAAAGGAATGCCCCACCACTGCCCAGCCACCACATCCAGTTTTTTGAAGCTCTAGGGTTTAAACATCGTGCCTTGTGCATACGAGACAAGTCCTCTACCAATAATGGTACATCCCCAATTTCATTCCTTGGCTTTCAAGATAGAAAAGTCTCAGAATGAAGCCCAAGCTATCCTGGGACTGCTATATAGCCCAGGCTTCCTTGAACTTGAAACAATTTCCCCACCTCTGCCTCTCAGGTGCTGGGATGACTGGTGTGAGCCACAAGCCCACCGCACTATTATGATCAATCCTCCTTTCTTACAGATGAGGAGATGAAGAGGTTAAATTACTGAGCCCTCAGCTTGTATGTGTTCCAGGCACTGGGAACACAGCATACAAAAGGCAGATGAAGGCTGTTCTCCAGAGCGTGGAAACAGCATAGCTCAATGACGTTTTCAATATGAAACTTGTTTGCATGGAGTCGGTGGTACTGAGTTGGTAAAATTAAATATTACTTTTGATTTGCCTGGCGTGCTCACTGCAGGGGCAGATATGCCACAATGCTGCGCTGTAACTCTGTGGAGTCTGCGGGCCTTTCTTCAGCCATGCACCAAGTGTGTGGGTCACTGTAGAATTTAGGGGCTGCTTCCATTCCATGGAAGGTCCTTTGAGCACTGTGTTGTTTGCTGAGGAAAGGAATGCTCACTCTGGTTTTTTGCTTTTGCGTCAATGGCTGAGATGACCCAGGTGTCCCCCTGGCAGTCTGTACAGGGGAATTTTAGTCCTTTGTTTTTGTTTTAGGCACTGGGAGATGTTGCAAGGCCTTCAGTTTACCACTGAGCCACATCCCCAGCCCTTTTTTTTTTTTACTTTTTACCTTGAGATAAGGGTTCACTAAGTTGCCCAGGTTAGCTTTGCTTGAACTTGCTTTATAGATAAAAGCTAGTCTTGAACTTTTCAAGCCTCCTGCTTCAAACTCCCAAGTACTGGGCCTGCATAATGAGGCTCAGCTCCTTTTTTTTTTTTTTTTTTTTTTTTTTTTTTTTTTTTTTTTTTTGAGACAGGGTTTCTCTGTAGCTTTGGAGACTATCCTGGCACTGTAGACCAGGCTGGCCTCGAACTCACAGACATCTGCCTGTCTCTGCCTTCCAAGTGCTGGGATTAAAGGCATGAGCCACCACCGAGCAGCCAGGTTCAGCTCTTGAGAGCAGGATTTCAATATTCATTCTCTCTTCTTAGCCTCTCTGTTAAGAATAGATTTGGTGGAGGTGGTGCACACCTTTAATCCAAGCACTCAGGAGGCAGAGGCAGGTGGATCTCTGTGAGTTTGAGGCCAGCCTGATCTACAGATCAAGTTCCAAGACAGCCAGGGCCACACAGAGAAACCTGTCTAGAAAAAATAAATAAAAGAACAATTTGCATAGGCCTCCTCATCGCCCCAGTGTTCACTGTCCACTCAACCAATCAGACTGAAATTTTCTCAGTTAATGTTGGTATTGGCTAAGAAAGTGTGCTACACCCAGGGTCAGCAGGAACATGGTGAGAATGGGAACTTGGGAAGCTGAAAGAGAAGCAAGGCTGAACCAGGAAGAACCTCAAACCTATAGAAGACACAAAGACACTAACTCAAAGGCAGCAAGGGAAGCTGACAGGAGCTCTGGTCAGAACTTCACTTTAGAAAGCCCCCTCGGTATGGCGGACAGTGGGCTGAAGATCTGGCAAACGAGGAAGCGGGAAGATGCCCAGGTTAAAACTCCCAAGCAGGGAAGGCGAGTGGTATCACTCACCAAGAGTCCTCTCTGGAAGCCAAGGCAGGGGGGATTCCAACCTGAGGCTAGCCTAGAGAACTCAGAACCAGCTTCAAAAAGCAGGGCAGAACCACGAGCCAGGAAAGGGGCAAATGAACCTGAGATTTGAAGGTGGCAGATCTCAGAGACCAGGCGCTGGGTGGCATGTGGTATAAGGGAGGGAAAAAACACAAGTTAAGGGGACTTAAAGACATTGAACTTGTGTACCAGGGTGACTGTTGACCTTCCACTGGGTCAGAAATCCCAGAAGAACAGGCTTGGGTGGGGAGATGAGAAGGCGCGTAGGTGTGCTGGGAGACCAGTTCCTGTGGGGCACTCTAGGAAGGTGGCCATCAGGCAGTGGAAAACAGCCATCCAAGTCAAGTGGGACACCATGCATGCTGTTGCAGGACCATAATCCCAGCACTTGGAAGGTAGAGGCAGGAGGATCTAGAGTTCAAGGCCGGTGTTAGCTACACAGCAAGTTCTAAGCTAGCCTCAGCTTAGGCTACAAACGAAATAAGCCACTCGCACACACATACCAAAAGACAAGTATGTCTGTGAGATGGCAAATGGGTCCAGAGAGTGCGAAGCAAAGAGGAAGACAGGGAAGGAAGAGGATAGCCTTGATGAACTCAACTGAGAGTCTGGGAAGGATCCTGAAAAGCATCTTGCATCACAGGAGCCACAGAAAGAGAGTGCTCATTGGAAGAGGGAGGTACCAACAAGCCTGGGGAGGTACCAACAAGCTAAATGCCCCAGGCAAGTAAGGAATCAGCAACAGGTATGGTTGATAACCACACTGGGAGTCAATACAGGAGGTGCAGAGCAGGGAGCAAGGAATAAGAGAAACACCATAGCTTTCCGGAAGAGCGACTGTGGAGGAGCAGCCAGTGCTGGTAAAACCTCAGGAGTGTAAGGGTAGAGGAAAGAAGCTGTCAGGCCATGCCCCAGCAGCCCCTGTGCTCCACAGAGAAGCAGAGGAAGGAGGACTTGGAAAGAGGTAGAGGGGAGATCTTGGGGAGGTGGGAGCTGGCAGAGTGGGAGAGGAACCAGGTTAAGGGGACAGGACTGGGAGGGGCCAAGACATATAGCTTTGAAACAGGCCTACAAGGCTGGGCCATTCGTGGTCACCGACAGTGTGACTTTGAGAAGGGAAAAACAGCCAAACTTCCAGTTATCGGGGGAGTGAATGGAAGAGAAGGCTTCCAGAATAAAGGAGAACAAAGTGAGATGACGAGAGCAATACTAGCACTCAGGAGACCCAAGCTCCAGACCGAAGCTTCAGACCATGGGGTAGAGCGTGAGATCCAGTCTCAAAGAAAGCGGGGAGGGGAAGAA